ACATGGTGTCTATGTGGACATGGTGTCTGTGTGTGGACATGGTGTCTGTGTGTGGACATGGTGTCTGTGTGTGGACATGGTGTCTGTGTGTGGACATGGTGTCTGTGTGTGGACATGATGTCTGTGTGTGGACATGATGTCTATGTGTGGACATGATGTCTATGTGTGGACATGGTGTCTGTGTGTGGACATGGTGTCTGTGTGAACATGATGTCTGTGTGTGGACATGATGTCTGTGTGTGGACATGTTGTCTGTGTGTGGACATGATGTCTGTGTGGACATGGTGTCTGTGTGGACATGATGTCTGTGTGTGGACATGATGTCTGTGTGGACATGGTGTCTGTGTGGACATGATGTCTGTGTGTGGACATGGTGTCTGTGTGTGGACATGATGTCTGTGTGGACATGGTGTCTGTGTGTAGACATGGTGTCTGTGTGTGGACATGATGTCTGTGTGGACATGGTGTCTGTGTGGACATGATGTCTGTGTGTGGACATGATGTCTGTGTGTGGACATGGTGTCTGTGTGGACATGGTGTCTGTGTGGACATGATGTCTGTGTGTGGACATGATGTCTGTGTGGACATGATGTCTGTGTGTGGACATGATGTCTGTGTGGACATGGTGTCTGTGTGTGGACATGATGTCTGTGTGGACATGGTGTCTGTGTGGACACCCTGTGGACCTGTCACTGTCCTCTCTGCAGGTGACTCTGAAAGGTGAGAACTCGTCTCAGGTGATTCAGGACGATCAGGTCAAAGGGCCTCTCAGGGTAAGACGGTTCGGTTCTTTGTGTTTGAGGTTCTGCTCAGCTTCCTGTTCCTGTGATGGACCTGTCTCCATGTGGTTCCTCAGGTGGGTTCCTGTGTGGAGGTGAGGACCAACGAGGGCGTGTGCAGCGAGGCCGTCATCAGTAAGCTGACAGACGCCAGCCTCTACACTGTGGGTAAGGTCCACGCTCCTCACTTCCTGGTTCTGGGCTCACACCAGAACCCGACAGGTTTTTCACTGTATGGTTGAGCTCATTTAAAGAACTCTTCTGGTTCCTGTCAGCTGTCTGCTCTGTAAACACACTGAGGGTAACGCTTTATTTTAAACATCCTGAGGGAAACAGGAAACAGGAAGTGATGCACGTCTGCAGCCCTAATGGAGACTCAGACCTGTTGTCTTTCATCTCTTTAASCTGGCTGAGGAAGAGGAGTGATGAAGCTGAGAAATGGTTTCGCTATTTACCTGATGACATCAGATGATGTCACACCTTCTCTTGGCTGTCTGACCAATCCGCTGCCAGCTACAGTGATGAGAGCAAACAGAACAAAGCCCCGCCCCCTTTTGGGTGAAAATAACAACATTAAAATTATTTCAACCCATCTTAGATGAAAGTGTAACCCCACCCATTATGTGGTGAAGCTAAGCCCCTCCCCCTGCAGTGAACGCAGCTCCTGAAGGGTTTCAGGTAAATAAAACAGCAGAAGTTCACAGATATTTCTTCCTTTCAGAGAAACATTTCCTTCACYTCCCTGCTGATCCACGTAAACAAACCTGCAGAGGAGGATTAAACCAGGGCTTCTTAACCTTTTTGACCTCGGGGCCCAGTCACACATTACCAATGTATGGATCCAAATGATGATTATTCTAAAGCTTGGTTAAATTTTTTTATTGTATTTACATTATAACTAAATTAAATACACTTACAAGTAAATGTACTTTTAAGTAAAACTCCTGTCAAATAATCACGAGACGTGATTATGACAAACTATTTTTTTATATTGTAACCTGCCCATAACAATTGTTTGAACAAATGGTCATTCAAC